GGGTTTATAGGGTTTAGGGTTTAGGGCTTATAGGGTTTAGGGTTAGGGTTTAGGGGTTAGGGTTTAGGGTTTAGGGTTTAGGGTTTAGGGTTTTGGGCAGAACAGGGCTTGCAAGGGGCGGAGTTTTGCTCCATTCGGCTTCTCATTGTCGCTCTTGTTGAAAGCCTCTGAGCCTAACCCTAGACCCGCTAAACCCCCTGAAAAATACTCGGGGACAAGATCCTCTTAGGTGGCCATAGAGGGAAATCGAGCATGCCGCAGATATGTTCTCCACCTGCTTGCTCATCCAACTTTGCGTTTGGGGGTTGAGGGTTTAGGAGCTTGGGGTTTAGGGCTTTAGGGGATTAGAGTTGTGTTTAGGGTTTAGGGGTTTAAGGATTCATAAAAAGCGGTTCAGTAATTAAGGGTTGTGTTTTGGGTTTAGGCGAAACCGGAACACGACCAAAAGCAAACACACGCGGACTGATGAATCTTCTCTTCTCACCACCATCATCACTCGCTGACGACTGTTGGTGTGCTAATACAAATGCCGGCAAGTCGGGAAACAGATCCATCATTTTGTGTTAATCATGTTACATATCATTTAGTTTGTATTGTATTGTAGCATATTGTAAAGCTGTAGCTTGTATATTATAGGTTACGCATCCTGACAGTGTCAAACCAACAGCCCAGATGCAATGCAATGCAATGCACAAAGGGAACGACTGAAGTCAGCAGAGGTGCATGACGCCTAACGCCTGCTCAGAAAGCGGCTCGTCCTGTGGCTGCGTAAGGTACTGTAGAGGCCTTAATAATTGAAATTGGGGCTTTGGGGCATATCATACTATAATTATGGTAAGGAGCCCCCAAAATAGTATAGGTAAATATTATGGCCCCTATATTATAAGCCAAGGTTTGGATGTTCAGGGAACCTGAGACGCCTCAATCGTGAAGCATTTTGTGGGTAAATGTCCACAGATACTGCACAGGGCTTGTAGCTTCAAACTGCTGATTCCACGTCCCCTTCTGGCTGCAGTAGTGGCGAGGCAATCAATGCAGGCGCCAGACCCTAAACGCCAAAACCGTTAGCCTTAAACCCTGAGCCGTCCTCCTCCAAGCCCTCATCTGTGTATAGGAAAGTCTCGTCATGCCGCCCAGCACGACTCACCGTGAAACACAGCCTTCAAGGCAGGAGTTTAAGGATGAGGGTTTGGGGCCTATAAAGGTTCAAGCTTTTTTACGGACACATCGGACAAGAGTTCGCGCTGAATGGCAGCAAGGTTCTTACTTTAGGGCTTCCTGTTTAAGCTGACAAGCCAACTCAAGCCACAAGAACACCCTGCACGAAAGGTGAAAGAGCTCAGCCGGAATGAATGGAAATCATAAGTTTTAAGGGCTGCGTATAGAGAAACTATACATACGGGACTTGTCAACCATTCCATTGTCCAAACTAACGCATCACAAGGAACACCGCCCTATCCTCCAAGCGTCGGGCTTTGTCAAACCTCTCTAACGACAGAACAGACTAGCGAGTAGAACCCCTTTGGCGATGGTGACATAGAGCGCCCCATCACACGATCCCGAAGACTTGGCCTCAAAGCGACCCAGAAAGCAACAAAAAGAAAGTCCGACAACTTGCCCCGAACGTGAGACACCACCACCAGCAGAATCAGCGACAAGAACAAACAAAAAACAAACACCAACACCAACACCCACACCCACACCGACACCCACACAACCACCACCACCACCACCACCACCACCACCACCAGCAGCAGCACCAGCAGCAACAGCCACAGCCACA